TATATATATATATTTAATAATGAGATTGAAAAAATAACATGTGATCAAAATAATTTTCAAATAAATAGGATAAAAAGTATTTCAAATAAATTAATAAAATAAAAAGTTAAATGTTTATAAGTTATAAATTACTACAAATTTATGAAATATAAGCTTGTAAAAATAAATTTTAAGTTTTTAAAATAAGTTCTCATATATTAAATAAGTTTATTTTAATTAAATTAATTTAAAAATTGGAAAACAAGTTGATAAGTTTTTCTAACGTCTTAACAAAGATTGGGGTTTCAGATTACCGGTGATTTAGGAAGGTAGCTTGATTCCTATTCTTGATAAGCGAATTTCAAAGAATTCATCTTTTATCATATAAAAGGTTGTCTAACTGGAAGGCTCGACAACTTTCTTTCACTGGACATGGTATGCTGGTGGTGAAGGTTCCCTTGTTTGTGTCTGTGTGCTGTTGGAAGGGTCTTGAGGGCATTCGTCTCTTCTTATGGAAAGTGGTTGGCTGGTTGCTAATGCTTTGTTAACCAATGAGGAGAGATGTAGGAGGCATTTGACAGTGGATTCTGCTCGTGTGAGATATGGTGAGAGTCACGAAAATCGTGATCATGTGCTTAGAAATTGTGGTCTGGCAACTAAGGTGTGGTGTAGGTTGGTTCCGAGAGACAAAAAGGCAACATATATTTTTTAATTGCAATTTCAATTCCTGGTTGTTAGAGAACCTGCGTGATAATTTAGTAGTTGAGGATTGTTGTTGGGGTCTGATTTTTGCAGTGGCTTTAGATGCCTTGTACGTGGTAGTCTAGGAATAGCTTTATATTTAGAAACGAGGATGTTAATCGTGATTCTGTTCTGGTGCAGGTTCGGGCATCTATGGATGCCATTCGGAATTGTTCTGTACAAGGTAGCAATTTGGTTGCTGATATATCTGGTTTTCGAGGTCTACCGGTATTGGAGATGCTTCTTCATTGATCAGATGGGTCCATCCACCAGCTGGGTGCTTTAAGCTAAATTGTGATGTTGCGGTTAATCTCAGTTCTAGGAAATCAGTTGCTGGGGGAAGTGTTGCGTGATCATAGGGATGTGGTGTTGTTTGCCTTTGTTGCCAATACTGGCTTTTGCTATGTGATTCAAGCATAACTGTGGATCATATATATTGGGATATGATTCTTGCTTGGAATAGAGGGTAAATGAGTTTTTTTGGTGGAGGCTGACTCTTTAAATGGAGTAACTCTTCTTCAACAAGGTTGTGGGTCTCATCACCCGTGTTGTAATTTGGTAAAATGTATTCAGTCTTTCGATGATGCAGGGGTAATTTGAGCTGGTATCATGTCTTGTGAGAAGTCAGCCAAGTTGTTGATCAGTTAGTTTTTGCTTATCTTCGTGTGATAGTTTGAGAATTTTTAATGTCCTTTTGCTTTTCTTTGTTTGGCTTGTTAACATTGATGTAACTTTTGTTTCTTACCTTCTTGACTCTAATTGTTTTTTGTTCAGATGTCCCCTCCAATTCAAAAATAAAATAAAATATTCTACATATTATATGATATGAATCATGTTTATTTCAATTTATCCTTCTTTATTCTTTAGTAAGACCATCTAAAGTATCTAAATACGATGCAATCATTGTATATAAAAAAAAGCTTGGAATAGAATCATAAACTATTAACTTTTTTTATAAATAAAAGTTTTTTTTTTTTTTTGAAACATTAAATTTCATTTAATTTGTGGCACTGGGGTGCATCAAACCCATATTTACAATGTGCTGATTAAGTGTAATTTAACCCATATGGACTACAACAAAATTACTATATAGTGACACACACCTTATAGTGACACTATACATGTTACTAAAAATTAATTTTACCCACACAATAATTACAATATATGTTGGTATATTATTAAAAAGTGTGGGTATAGACTATAGTGACACACAAAATATGTTGTTAAATCTCATTCAAAATTAACACTAAAATTGTGTGTAACTATATGTCAAATAGACATATGCCTACATATATTGTACCTATAGTGACACTTTTTATATGTCACTATATGTAACATTTCTTGTAGTGGGACCAAATTACATTTTAATCAAACCAACATACAAGTTTATATTCAATTTCACTACAAGTTTACCATAAATAAAAGTTATATGATGTCCGAAAACTAATAATCAATGTTTAATTTGTGTTTGTGGGACATTTTTGTTAATAAACATTATTTTAGTATGTAAATAAATAAAGAAAAAAGGATAATTAATTAAAGAGAAAACTATTAATTTAATTTGATAAAATATCATATTACAATGTGGGAATGTTTAGTTTTTCATAGTCTTTAAGATATTTAAAATAATAGAAAGATTTCTTTTGCAACAAAATAATAGAAAGATTTAAAAAAATCATAAATTCGACTTTTCATATTCTAAAAACTTCTTAACACACACACAAAAAGTAATTACTTAAGAAGACTCTGTCGAGGCAGGTCATGCCGACGCCATTTCTGTTAGCTTAGATAGCTGACGGATTTTGAATGTGAATTTTTAAAGCAAGTAGAATATTGAAAATAGGGGTCAATAAACCTCTATTTTCCCCTTCTAAATTTTTTTTGTCTTTGACTTGGTTACCAGTTTACTTCATGGATCACGTCAAGAAGTTATGGATAAAGTTGTGGGGATTGCTCCGGTGCCCTCTTATTTGAAGGGGTTTTGGTGCCCCTCAGTACAAAAGTTGGGTTTTTAGGGGTAATAAGGTAAATTGATAGTCTTCAGACAATTTATCAATTTACCTTATTGCCCCTAAAAACCCAACTTTTATACTGAGGGGCACCAAAACCCCTTCAAATAAGAGAGCACCGGAGCAATAGCCTAAAGTTGTATGGCCAAATACTTTCTAGAAATTAGTGTACTTCACTTCTTTTCTATTTTTTTTTCGTCGTGGAATCTTTAACTAAAAGTGATCAATACTTGATAATTACAGATTAATTTTTATATGAGAGAAATTACTAAAGTAAAGATGTATGGCCAAATATGGAAATCTGGAAAAATCATAATTTTCCAGTTTTAAAAGAAGAATGAGTACGCACGTTTCCAATTTTCCAATTGTTGGTTAGATTTATTTGTGAATTTTCTTTTTCTCTATGATTTAATAGCTAAGTAGGTTTCACAAAAATAGTGCAGGAAATGGTCAAGGTGATAAAAGTGTTTTTATGGAGATGGATTACAAGCAAATGTGGCTCATGGTATCCCTTTTCATGTTGGTGAGGGGCCCAGGGTGTTGGGACATAATGTATATAAATATAACATCTCATTCACACACATATA